TAAAATATAATACTTTTAAACTATTCTCTCCCCCATAGACTTCAATGCCGTAAACATATTTCATCCAGTTTTTCTCAGCACAACTTTTTTTTTAGTTACTTCTTTTCATGGCTTCCTCTTTGGCTTTTGATATCTTAAATGAAGCCTTTAAAATATAATGGTTTTATTATTGTAATGTCCCTTCGAGTCAGAACAGACTCATAGCTGATCCGCTGGCAGGGTTTTGGAAACTGTAAATTGAACAGGAAGAGATTGCCTGTCTTTAGCCATTGGTGTGTTCAAACTGCCCAAGACATGTTAGGTCAGCAGTACAACTCACTACCCGCTGCCAACAGAACGCCTTCCAAATGTAGAAAAGGATTTTTAAGCAATGTCATAAATGTGTTCTTTCTTAGTTGTTCTAACATAACACATCTTTTCCTTCTTCCATTTAGGTTTCCGCTTTGGGATAACCACACATCTGATTTCTTAAGATCGTTTTATATGTAAAACTTGTAAACAATCACAACAATGCCTCCAAGACCATCATCAGGAGAACTGTGGGGCATCCACTTGATGCCCCCACGAATCTTAGTAGAATGTTTACTACCAAATGGAATGATAGTGACTTTAGAATGCCTCCGTGAGGCTACATTAATAACTATAAAGCATGAACTATTTAAAGAAGCAAGAAAATACCCTCTCCATCAACTTCTTCAGGATGAATCTTCTTACATTTTCGTAAGTGTTACCCAAGAAGCAGAAAGGGAAGAATTTTTTGATGAAACAAGACGACTTTGTGACCTTCGGCTTTTTCAACCCTTTTTAAAAGTAATCGAACCAGTAGGCAACCGTGAAGAAAAGATCCTCAATCGAGAAATTGGTATGATATCCTTTTCACCTAAGTAGCATTAGCATTGCCATGCTATCCTAATGTGCGATTTAATTTGGAGCTTAACTTGTAATTTCATTACCAAAATATTTTTAGTCTGAACCACTGTAGTACTGTAAAGTTTTTTAGAGAATGTCTTTCTTCATAAAAATCATTACAGTTCTAAGCTATTTTCAACTAGTAGTCTAAAGAACTGTTTTTATGAAATTTTCCTTTAAGAAGTCTCTTTTTTGACTTAGATTTGTTATAAAAAAACGGGTTGTTTTTTTTTTTTTTTTAAAAATGGTTGATATGGATAATGTTTCCCGTCTTTGACAGTTTGAGAATGTGTTTTATATGTTAAACATTAGGGGTACTTATCAGTTTATTATGTAGTAAAAAAAAACATTAATCCAGAGAAACTTTTTTATTCTCTTAGGTCTTCTGAATCAACCAAGTTTATAGTTTATGAAAAATACATTTGTATTGTGTGTTTAGTAGATTATAATATTGTTTGCCTAACTTTTTAAAGGTTTTGCTATTGGTATGCCAGTATGTGAATTTGACATGGTTAAAGACCCAGAAGTACAGGACTTCCGAAGAAATATTCTGAATGTCTGTAAAGAAGCTGTGGATCTTAGAGATCTTAATTCACCTCATAGCAGAGCAATGTATGTGTATCCTCCAAATGTAGAATCTTCACCAGAATTGCCAAAGCACATATATAATAAGTTAGATAAAGGTAAGAAAAACGGTCAGTGTATTGTTATTGGTTGTTGGCAATTAAATATTTCTCCATGTGACTGTATTTCTGTAAGCATACTTTTTCCTCTCAAAAATAAGAACCCTCTTGAAGACAGGGATTATTTATACTAATGAGATATAGTTGAATATCAAGTATATAGCTTGCATACATTAAATATGTATTGACTGAATAAATTATTTGCAATATGATGCTGATCACTTTGTAAATTATTAGAAAGAAGCTGAAGAAATTTGACGTTTTTAGGATACCATCAGATTTAATGCCAATTATTTTTTATAAATAAAAATAAATAAGAAATAGTTTATGAAATGTTGGGGAAACTATACATTCTTGTTATTCTATATATGAATAAAAAGAACTTTCTTAATCTCAAAGAATATAATAAGCTTGATCATACTAATCTGGAATTGTCTAGGTTGACCTTTAAGTACTTATATAACAATTTTGTGAATTAAGTAAACATGAAAATATGTCATTTATGTATCAAATAGATCCTTGTAGCTTTCAAAATAATATCAGTGTTTCTATTTTAAATTATAAAATAGGTTAAGCCTCACTTTTAAACATTAAATTCTGTTAGAATAATTTATTCCTCTTTCACTAAGACTACCACTGTAATTTTAATAATGCACTGTGACTTGAGAGTTCCATTTAAAATACCCTCTCACTCCCGTATTCTTTCCTTTTTGTAATCCTTTTTTCCGTTTCTCAGCATCTTTATGAAGACTTCCCACCATATACAAAATATGGGGGGAAAAAATCATATTGTGAGCAGCAGACCACTCACACATGCTTTTTTTTAATAATTTTAATGAGCATTTACAGAGAATTTTGATTTCCATTCATTCATTGCTGCACTTCTCTACCCACCCAGCCCTCTCCCTCTGCCCCCCAGTTGGAGCGGTGGGAGGGGTACGGGAGGATTGTGTACCAGGGAGGGAGTCTTACTTTCACACATGCTTTTTAATCTAGTTCCACCATGTTTTAGTTTGTCCTCTTCCATAATTGCTGGTAAAGAGAGAAAATTAGTTTCATCTCTCACCCGCCCCCCCTTCCATCATTCTAGTTCAGCATCTTCCTTTAAGTCTTTACTTTGGGAAGTAACTATGGGTACTTAGGAAAAACTCTTCTTTATTAGACACTGTTGTGTCTTTGACATTCTAATGAACAAAGCCCTTTTTCAGAGGAATGCACTTGAAGTGTGCTGTGCAGTTTAAAATGACATAAGATTGGTTTTAGAATTTTGTGACCCACACACAGCTTAGGTAGTTTGCTTATAGAATAAAAGATTTGAGGATTTCCTGCAGTGGTGTCTCTCTGGAGACTAAGGTGCGTCTGATACAGGCCATGGTCTTCGCAATCACCTGTTATGCATCAGAGAGTTGCAGGCAAGGATTCCGAAGCTCCGTTTAACTTACTTTGGACATGTTGTGAGGAGAGACCGGTCCTTAGAGAGGGACATCATGCTTGGGAGGATGGAGGGATGGTGCAGGAGAGGAAGGCCCTCTATGAGGTGGATTGATTCAGTGACTGGGATAATTGGGATGGGAGTGTCAGAGACAGTGCGATTGGCACAGGACAGGGCAGAGTTTAGGGCTGTTGTACATAGGGTCGCTATGAGTCGCAGGCGACTCGACGGCACATAACAAGAACAATAGCAACAACAACTTGATATTTGCCTGTACTTAATTATATTGATTATAAATAATTTCTGAGTTCAAATAATGTCCTTTGGAAAATAAAGTGTATATGATGATTACATCTAATGTTTTTTGGTTTTAGGGCAAATAATAGTGGTGATTTGGGTAATAGTTTCTCCAAACAACGATAAGCAGAAATACACACTGAAAATCAGCCACGACTGTGTGCCAGAGCAGGTGATTGCCGAAGCAATCAGGAAAAAAACGCGAAGCATGTTGCTATCATCTGAGCAGTTAAAACTCTGTGTTTTAGAATATCAGGGCAAATACATTTTAAAAGTGTGTGGATGTGATGAATACTTCCTCGAAAAATATCCCCTGAGTCAGTACAAGGTGAGTAACCAGTTTTGAGAGTATTTTAAATTTTAAGAAATCACATTGGAAAATAATAGCAATCTTTTTCCCCCCCTTTTCTTGTTGTGTACCATTGAATCTGATCCGACTGGCACAGGAGGAGATTGCCCCTCCTTCTCCAAAGGAGCATCTGGTGGATTCAAACCACACACCTTCAGGATTGTAGTGTGGCTTCTTGCTCTAGAGCTCCCATAATAACAATCTTGTTAGTATGTACTTTATGGAATCTAAATAGTTTCTATTGATAAATGGCATTTTAAAAGTTCTTTTTAGGCTAATTAAAATCTGAGGGTCTACAACTTTAGCAGTTATAATACCCAAGCCTGATTGTTGCCATTGAGTCCGTTTCTACTCATAACGGCCTTATAAAAAGCGTAAACTGCACCCAGATTTCTAGCTTGTCATTCCCCCACAGAGCAAAGGGTGGATTTGAATCCCCAGCCTTTCAGTTAACAACTATTGTCTGTCTACTGTATCACCAGGAATCCTTGGAAGACACACTATCTCATAATATGTGATTTCATGAGTTTTCTCTCTTTCTAAACATTTGCACTACAATGTAATTGAAATAGAGATTTCAAAAATTTTTATTATTAAGATTAACATTTTACTACCATCTCTACTTCTTAAATAAATTCTTAAGGAGCCAATTACATATGTATCAAGCATCATATTAAGTATTAATTTAAATTAATACTGGTCTTGAGTTAGCTAACTTCTAGTGGAAGGTTATATGTAAATTATTGTTGTTATGTGCCATCGAGTTGCTTGCAACTTGATGTATAAAAGTCCTATTCCCTGCTCTATCCTGTGCCAAACTTATTGTCTCTGACACACCTACTCCCCTTACCCCAGTCACTAAAGAGGGTCTTCCTCTCTTGCGCTGTCCCTCTCCAAGGACTGGTTCCTCCTTGCAACATGCCCAAAGTATGTCACACGAAGCCTCATAATCCTTGCCTCCAAGGAGCAGCCCAGTTTCACCCTCTCCAGGACGAACCTGTTTGTTCTCCTAGCAGTCCATGGTATATGCAACACTCTTCTCCAGCACCACAGCCCAAAGGTATCAGTTCTCTTTCTGTCATCCCTAGTCATTGTCCAGCTCTCTGATGCATGTCATGCAATTGCAAAGACTGTGGCCTGGATCATGTGCACCTTAGTCTTAAGCCTTACGTCTTTGCTCTTCAGTACTCTGGAGAGGTCCCTGACAATTTCCTTACTGCTGGTACCGAGAGTGTTGATTGTGGAGCCAAGTAAACTAAGACTGTTAACAGTCTCAATCTCTTCACCATCCATAATGTTACTGCCATTTGGCCTAGTGGTGAGAATCTTTGTTTTCTTGATGTTGAGCTTCAATCCATATTGAAGGCTGCAGTCCTTGATTGACCTTCTGCAGCAAGCACTTCATGTCCTCCTCAGTTTCAGCAAGCAGGGTTGTGTCATCTGCATGACACAGGTTGTTGATGACTCTTACACTAATCCTGATGCCAAATTCCTTCTCATAAAGCTCAGCCTCCCAGATGATCTGTTCTGCATATAGATTGAAAAGGTATAGAGACAGAATACATCCCTGGCAGACACTCTTACCTATTTTGAAGCAAGCAGTGTCTCCTTCCTCTGTTCTGATGACTGCCTCATGGTTCAGGTAATAGGCAATTATAATACATCTACAGTAGCATTTAGGGAGCTCTTGTGAGTTGCAACTCTTTTGGAGTTGCCAGAAGCTGCACTGTGACCCTGAAGGCACGCGTTTTAAATATGCCAGCTGCTCCACAGGAGAAGGATGGGCAATATTCTCTTGTGCATTAACTGCCTCTGAAAACCCAGCGGAGTGTCAGCTGTGGGTTGGTGCTCACTCGATGATACACAACAACATTAGCATTTATGTCAGAAATTTCTATCTTAACCACCATTTCAAAATTCAGGCCAATTCATTTTCATATTTTATTAATATATCCATAGTTTTATCTGTCTCTTTTTCATGGTTCTCTGATAGGTTTTGTTTTTTAACAAATCAGAAAACATTTGGAAAAGCAGCAGTCTTCAGTGGACTAAACAGTATGACTTAATAGATTGAATAACAAATGGCTTACTAAAAAATTTTTACTTTCCTTTAGCCATTGCAGTGTATTTGTAGTGTATATTTTCTATTCCTTGTTTTCAATTCCAGGTTTTTAAATTGTTTATTTACAGTTAAGAATAGAACTATATTGCCATTAACTGTTGTAATTTTTTTTCTTTATAAAATTTAAATTCTTAAGTACTTGTTTAATCCTATGCCAGACCTAATTGCAAAATTTTCATATATTAAATGTTTAAAGTATAGCAACTGTTATGAAATGTAGTCTGTAATGTTTGATTTTGTTACCTTAGTATGTAAATTTTTTCCTAGTATTCTCACATGTTGCTTTTAAATGAAAACTCTAATATGAAATTATTTCTCTATCCCCCCATCGTTTAATCTTTTACAGTATATAAGAAGCTGTATAATGCTCGGAAGGATGCCCAATTTGATGCTTATGGCTAAAGAAAGTCTCTATTCTCAACTGCCAATGGACTGTTTTACAATGCCATCTTATTCAAGACGCATTTCCACAGCCACACCCTATATGAATGGTGAAACATCTACAAAATCTCTTTGGGTTATCAATAGTGCACTAAGAATAAAAATTCTTTGCGCTACCTATGTGAATGTAAATATTCGAGACATTGACAAGGTAAGGTCAAATGCTGTGCCAAAATACTATTTTATGAACATTCACAAGTAAAAGTGTAAAAATATTTTCTATATGAACCTTTTTTATTGTATAACAATCAATGAACCTGCAATAGAACGTTTTCAAATGCCGAGACACTCAAATCTCAGAAAATAAGAATATAATATATAATTAATTCTACTTACTTATCTCAGCTTTTACATACCTCACAATTCTTTGTAAGAATTGGTAAGTTCTAATAATTCAGTATCCATAATTCCAAACTCTTAAAAATTTAAGCATTTTACAGAATTCACTGGCCAAGTTTGAAGTGAGACTTTCTATAGTTTTATTTATCCTACTTCTTTTGACTAGTCATACATTTTGTTATAAGGACATTAATGTCTATAAAAGAATGCTATTCCGGGTGCTGATGATATGAAGTAGTATTAGTATTCGTATATGTACCAGTCTATCTTTCTAAAATAGGAAGAATTTGAGTTTAAAAGTATATCTGCTGTAAAGGATTTTAGATGAGGAACTATAGGCCTATATTAACTTTCAGGAATCTGATCATTTCTTAATAAATACAAGTAGTGACACATTTTGGAAAATAATCTAGTTCATTTCATGTGAAGGAGAAAATAAGTTCTTGGTGAACAAAAATTATAATTAGCCTCCTCTTTCATATAAATTACATTAATTTGTTATTGCTTGATATTTTTATTTTTTTTATTTTCTATAGTGTACGTGTGGATTTATATAACCCAATGCCAGTGAATTGATGTGACTCATTGTAGTCCTATCATATCAAATAAAATAGAACTGCCCTGTAGGCTTTCTGAGTTTATAATCTTAAAAGAAGCAGACAGCCACAGTGTCCACAAAGTGACTGTTGGTTCACACTGCTGACCTTTTGGTTAATATATTAGTACTTTACCAAGGAATAACTAGGGCTCCTTTGTGTTATGTACACATACTTCCTTTTTTTTTCTTTTATCTTTTTTTAGATCTATGTTCGGACAGGTATCTACCATGGAGGAGAACCTTTATGTGACAACGTAAACACTCAAAGAGTACCTTGTTCCAATCCCAGGTAAGGACCCATACAGACTTATATTCCTAAGAGTCATATATTAGTATTTAGCCCTAAAGCAATAAAAGTTGTATATTTAAATCATTAGGTTTATCTAATTCATATAAATTGCTAGATACATTATAATAAATAATAAAGTATAACGATTTCTGTTAGAGGAGTATTAACACATTTTATTAATTCTTTCTAAAACATCACTTCATTAATTTGCTCTGTAATTGTATCAGAAAGATTTTTCTGATTGCCTCTTTCTGTTTCATTGAGAATAGAAAAGAATACAGTTGTGTGTTCATGCTGTTTTTTCCCCTACTTCAAATCCATAAACCTGAATCTTACTTTTTTTCCCTTATTTCCTTTCCATTTGCATGAGAAAGTGAAAGATGGCAAACAATTCAAAATCAAGTTCCCTTGAGGCAGTGTTGTTTAAATCCATCCCAAGACTAGCTATTTTATAACATTCAAACAATGTGTGGGGACAAGTCCATTTCCTTATGAGAGGAAAAATTATTACAAACATATTAAATTATTATTGAGTAAATAGAAGAAAGAAAAAGTATTGTAATCCAGTAATATACCATCTTGCCATTTCTTTGCCTTTCTTCATTTGAGTCATAAGGGAATAAGGCTTAGGCTTGTGAATACTGTAATAGCAGTAATATGTCAAGGAAATTCAAATTAGTATTAAAGATTAAGTCACAGGGTAGCAATAAAATTCACTTGTAAATTCTCCAGAAACAAAGCTCATAGAGTTTAGATTGAGTGCTAAGAAAATCAATAAAAAGTTTAGGTGTTAGATTTAAATTGCTAAAGGTTTTCTAGACTCTTGGTAGCATACACAGAGATGCACTGCATTTTACTAGGAGGAAGGGAAAGAATTTCTCATCATGCAAGAAAGTGCCTCATTTAGGTTAAAAGTTATGTTGTGGCAATAAACAACCCAAAATATATTTGTTTTTAATTTTTGTTAAGACAAAAATGTTTTTCCTGCTCAGATTGCATGTCTGTCAGAAGTCAGGAAGGAGGAAGTGATTGTGGGAAGGAATTGAAAAACAATACTTGAGGAAATAGTCAGAATTTTTAAAAAGTTCGCAACTGCTATAAATCCACTATTCCCAGGAGTTCAGCCTTGAGCAAAGACCCCGAATTACTATTAGGTAGATTTGTGTTTGGTGCTTCAAGTAAGCTAGCTTTACAACAAAAAGGTAAACTTAATTAATAATATAGAATTATAAAATATAGTTAATTAAAACATGTATATAGAAAGGACTTACTTGTTTTTAAGAATCTCTTTACTTTGTCTAAAATATGAAATGCCCTATGGTAGTAGTAGCATGAGCATTTAAGTACATTTTGAAAGGTTTTTTGTATTTACAAAAAAGAAAAATGAATATGAACTTTTGATATAGAAGTAGATTGAAAAAAATTATTACTGTATTTTATTTGTTCCCAGTGTGTATTTTTTGATGTGCTAGATAAATCAAATACATTGTGAGTTCTTCATAAATTATACCTGTTGTCTTCCCAAATCAGTCAATTTGGCATACACACACACACACACACACACACACATATATTTTATGCCATCGAGTTGTAGACGACTCATAGCGAGCCTATGAACGAACAACCTGAGCACTGTTCGTACATAGAGTTTCCGGAGGCAAGCCATTTCGGAAGTGGATGCCGCTCCTGCTTTCAGGCTTGATTTAGTTGGGAAGCTCCAGCCAACACTGTCCACCATGGGTACCCATTACCACGATTGGCACATCGCTGTCACAGTCTTCAGCATCACAGCAACCACGAGTTACCTCTGTACAGCAACGCACAGACCAGTGCTATACCACCTAGAAGAATGTTTGACAGGAAAACAATTTGAACCTTACTGAGGGTCACATATAAATCACCCACCTTCGGCTTGGTAGCATAGCTTCCTTTCCACTAGGCCAATGTAGCTCTCTCTTTGTCGTCATCATTGTTATTGTTGTTTGATGGCGCCGTGTTGTGGGCGACTCATAGCGACCCTATGAATGAACGGCCTGAGCACTGTTCATACATAGAGTTTCCGGAAGCCTGAAAATAAAGACATCAGTTTTTTGTTGTGTGTTTATGATGAATTGTTGTGTTAATTTGTGTTTGAAATGAACATTCTCCTAAGTGGAACAGCATTACTCTGTCAATTTGCTGTATTGAGGAAACTTTGGGTTGCTGTGACACTGAAAGCTGTGCCATTGGTATCTCAGATGCTATAATGGTTACACGTAGTTAACAGTGTTTGGTGGAGCTCCTAGGTTAAGACAAACTTGGAAGCCGGAGTGGTAACCACTTCTAAACATCATGCCTCTGGAAACTCCGAACTTAGAGAAACAACAATAGTCATAGAATAGGGTTATGGTCTTTTGTTTGTAGGATCGCTATGAGTCATACTGTACTCAATGGCACTAAACAAGAACAACTTATGATGAATGGACTTTAGAGGAGAAAAGCATGTTTAGTTACATAGTTACTACATTACTAAGGACCCACTTAGAAAGTAGGTAATGGTCCATCAATTATGACAGTTCCAAAGACTGAGGACTATTTAAAACATCCTGAGTATATTTACAAGGGAGCACTGGTGGCCTAGTGAGTGGTAAGATGCTGCATTGCAATACCAAAAGCTTGAAATTTGAATCCACTGGCTGCTGCACAAGAGAAAGACAGTTTCTTCCCATGCAATTAACTGCCTAAACGTCACCTATCCTATGATTCTGACTGGATGGTACACAGTAACAACAAAACAAAACAACAGGCCATATTTACATAGATATGTCTTTAATTCTTCATTTACTATAAACTTTAAAATCCTACAACATTTCTTCTTCCTGCAGTCCTTTAGTACCATTTCTTTCTAAATTCCTTTATTTAAAATGTCAATCTTCTTATAAACTGTCCTTTTTTTCCTTTTTTTTAATCGTTGTCCATTTAAAAAGAGCAAGGGTCTTATGGAGATGGCCACATCTGGCCTCTATTAATAATGAACATTTGTACTTTTTATCATAAGCCAATTGCTATTTTAATCAATTTGCTGATGTTATCTCATTTAATTCTCACAACAGCCTTATGCAGGTAGGTATTGTTATTCCCATTTCACAAATGAGAATATAGCCAATGAGGGAGTCATACATCCAGTGAAATAGTAGGAATAGGATTCTACTCCACAGCCTAACTTCTGAATTCTTGGTCTTAAGCACTGCTATAATTTCTTTAAAACCAAAAAAAAACTGTGTATTGTCATTTTCTTTTTATAAATACATCCATCAAATATAGATATGTCAGTAAATTGAAGATAAAAATTTGACTTGTTTTATCATAGTACTTTTATGTAACAGTTTATTCTTTTCCTCATTATGCATGTCATATTACTCCTTTTAAAGTTGTTATTCTTTCCCTTCATTTACCTGCTGGTTTATTAGGTCCTTCTAAATAAATCTACATAGTATATAAAAGAAATTAAATACTATTGTAATCATAATAGGAAATCCTTTAACTTACTTCCCTTTATTATTTGCCTTTCCTGTAAACTGTGGTTTTAAATTGTTGAAATAAAGCACAAATACCCTAAAATATACAGATGATACTTAAATTTTATGAATTATCACAAAATTATGGCCTTTATAACCAGAATGCTGATTAAGAAAGAGAATACTTAGAAACACTCCAAAAGCCTTTCTTCATGTGCTCTCCCATTCCATTAACTTCCTCTTTTCCCATAAATCGCTGCTTTCCTGACTTTTATCACTATTGGTTAGGTTTGCCTGGTTTTAAATTTTCTCTGGACTCATGCTGGTGGCTAACTTCTGTCATTCATTATTACATGTTGCTAAGATTAATTCGTGTTATAATTTATTTTCATTACTGTATGTTATGTTGCTGTTATTGTGCCTCTGACCCATAGCGACCTTATGCACAACAGCTTTGAACCCTTCCCTGTCCTGAGCCAGTCTCCCTAATTCTGACACATCAACTCCCATTGCCCCAGTCACTGTATCAATCCATCTCATCTGGGGTCTTCCTCTCTTGCACTGTCCCTCTACCCTTCCAAGCATGATGTCCTTCTCCAAGGACTGTTCTCTCCTGGCCACGTACCCAAAGTATATGAGACAGAACTTCAATATCCTAGCTTTAAACTGTATAGTGTTCCATTATTTATTGTGCTGATGGCTGTATAGGTTGTTTGCTGTTTGCAGATACTATTTTGCTATAAATATTCTATATACCAATAAACACATTTCTGTGGTTTTTAAGCCTATAACTACAGCTAGTCATTTAGTCAGTTACACTTTCCCAGTTATTATAGCAAATTGCATTCCCACTAGCAATCTCCAGTGGATTTTCAGAGCCTGTAAATAGCAAGGGAAGAGATTGCCCATCTTTCTACCTTGGAGCAGCTGATGGATTTGAACAGCACAATTCCTTGCAGAAAAGTAGAGGGCAAGGGAAAGAGAAGACTCTCAGCAAGGAACATTGACACAGTGGCTGTAGCAGTGGGATCAAGTTTGTCAGAGATGATGAGGATGGCACAGGATAGGACAGGTTTCAGATCTGTTGTTCATGGGGTCATGAGTCGTACTCGACTCTGCAGCACTTAATAACAAAATGAGGTACCTTGTTGCTGCACATCATGAGTCTTTATGATTTTAGCCATTCTTGTGTGGTATTTCCGTGTGACTTCTGTTTACATTTTCCCATCACAAACTATATTGACTACATTTTCCATGCTTATTGTCCATTTGAATGTGATTTTGTGAAATGCCTATTCTAATCAGCTTCTTATTATCTCTTTCCCTTTGGTTTATCTTTTTCTTGTTGATTTATAGGAATTGTTTAAATAGTTTACAGTAAAGCTTTCTCTTTTTTTCTTGAAAATTCTACGTAGGTGGAGTGAATGGCTGAATTATGATATATACATTCCTGATCTTCCTCGAGCTGCTCGACTTTGCCTTTCCATTTGTTCTGTTAAAGGTCGAAAGGGTGCTAAAGAGGTATTTCAGAAAGAATAATGATATTTCATTATAAAACCTCCTAGTTATACTACTATTTGAAATGTTCTCAAGAAATAAAAATTATTTTTTATTTGGAAAATATAATTATTTCTTTAACTATATAAGTTTATAATGTTTTGTTTTTAATAATAAATGGATTATAGAAAAATTCCTGGGAAAATTTTTAAATTTGTATATGATGATATATTTTTGATACATTTTTTTAAAACATACAAAGTGACTAGATACAAATAAATACAAAGTCACTACATGTAAATATTTGTCATGCTTGCTTTGACACATGTACTTAAAGATAATGCATGTTTTCAAATGCAAAAAAGGAAAGAATGTGTTTGTACAATGTAAAATGAATGTGACTCTAGGTATCATATTTCAGTTAGTATAGAGAAAATTGGTCATCAAATTATCCTTTCTGGGGAACTCAGATGTTTTGAAATGCCTCTTACGATTTAATCCCAAGTAATAACTGTTTTTCTTTATTTTTTAAGGAACATTGTCCATTGGCCTGGGGAAATATAAACTTGTTTGATTACACAGATACTCTGGTGTCTGGGAAAATGGCTTTGAATCTTTGGCCAGTACCTCATGGATTAGAAGATTTACTGAACCCTATTGGTGTTACTGGGTCAAATCCAAATAAAGTAAGTTGTTATTTCAGAGCTTTTTTATCCATCATTGGTGTTTTTAAATTAAAATCTTTGTCTTTTTAAATAATGATCCATATTTATATGTATGATAATTTTCTTCCATCTTTTAGGAAACTCCATGCCTAGAATTGGAGTTTGATTGGTTTAGCAGTGTGGTAAAGTTTCCAGATATGTCAGTGATTGAAGAACATGCCAATTGGTCTGTATCCCGAGAAGCAGGATTTAATTATTCCCATGCAATACTGGTAAGGCAAATTACCAACTGTTCTTAAATACTAATCATCGTCTTTGTATTTGAACACATATCCGTTGTATGAAACATAGTTTGTGTACTTTAAGTGGCATAGATACTCTGGACTGGGGAACAGCATTAATATATAATACAATTCTTTACTTGATGTTATATACTGTAGATGTCTCTTAGTTTACTGAGGACTCTTAACTAACCTGCCTTCATTTACTTAACAGCGATTTCTTGAATCCCAACTATGCATAAAGCATTATGATAAACATTAGGTAATACAGTTGTGAGCAAAACAACTAGATTCTTTTTGTATTAAAGAGGTGAAAATAGGCAGGCATAAAGCAGGTTGAAGCACATATTAAGATTATAAATAATAGTGTAAATACCATGAAGGGAAAAATAATATTGTATCAAGAGAGACTAAAGCCTAAGGGTCAGAGGGCAGAAAGATAAAGAATATGTTGGGTTTATGAAATTCTTCTATAAGGCAGTAACTTTGAAGTTGAGACCAAAGTATAAATGTGTTAGCAGTCAAGCATATACTGAAGAGTTGAACTTGGAGGCAAAGTATAAAATATTTGCTGAAACTGAGGAGGACATGAGGCCTTTGCTGCAAAAGAACAAGGACTGCAGCCTTCAATATGGATTGAAGCTCAGGATCAAGAAAACAAAGATTCTTGCCACTGGGCTAATTGGCAGCATCATTATGGATGGTGAAGAGATTGAGATAGTTAACAGTTTTAGTTTGCTTGGCTCCACAGTCAACACTCTTGGGTACCAGCAGCCAGGAAATCAAGAGACTAATTACATTGGGAAAGTCACGTGTCAGGGATCTTTCCAGAATACTAAAAAACAACAACGTCAGGTTGGAGACTAAAGTATGCCTGATCTGGGCCATAGTCTTCACAGTTGGCATGCTATGCATCAGCAAGCTGGACAGTGACTAGGGATGATAGAAAGAGAATTAATGCCTTTGAGCTGTGGTGCTGGAGAAAAATGTTGACTATACCATGGACTGCTAGAAGAACAAACAGATTTGTTCTGGAGAGGGTAAAACCAGGCTGCTTCTTGGAGGCAAGGATTATGAGGCTTCGTCTGACATACTTTGGGCATGCTTGGAGAGGAACATCATATTTGGGAGAGTGGAGGGACAGCGCAAGAGAGGGAGACTCTTGATGAGATGGATCGACTCAGTGATTGCAGTAATGGGAGTGTGTTTCAGAGACAGTGAGGTTGGCACAGGATAGAATAGGGTTTAGGACTCTTGTACATAGGGTCACCGTGAGTCACAAGCCACTCAATGCAGTATACATGGGTTCAATAATGTATACTGCACTGAAACAGAGGAGGGAGAAAACTGTTTAAAAGAGATATATGACTAGGTACTTCTGTCATCACAGGAGTCTAGAGCGAGGGCTACATGGTGGAGAGGACCTGGGGGAGGGTTTGTAAAACAATGAAAGAATC